CTTGAAGCACTCCCTTAATGTTGTGGGGATATGTGTAAAGCAGAGCCACCATCCCCATCAACTCGGAACACCCACAAGCACCCTGACTCAGTAAAATCAGACTCTGATCATTCCACATATTCAGGGGAAAGTAGGGGTTTGGCATTGGAGCAGAAGAAAGAGGGCAGCTTCTGAAAATGAGGGAATGTCTGGCCAGAATGTGCCAAGTAACTGTTGCCTGTCACCGTCACCGATGTGAAATTGGCTTCAGCTTTCCACCAGGAGCCTGTTCACGTGCCCAAGATTTGCCTTGACCTGGAGTGAAAAAGTGCCCTTCATGGGAATATGTTTTTTTCCAGAAAAATCCATTTCAGCCAAGCTAAGAATCCAGGAACCTCACTAGGGAGGAAAGAAAGACATCCCGAAGCCATTTGAAGGTGAAAAATAATTCCATAGGAAGTACGATGATCTTAATTAAATATTAGCTGTAATTAGCCCAAAGTGCAAATGTTGGGAGTATTAATTAGGGTCTCTCTGGAATGGCTGTCAGAGTTAATAAGTAACTGCGGGGGGTCCCACCAACATCTGTTGGAGAACTCCAGGCACAGGAGAGCGTCCCCAGCTCCGTGGACTTGAACGCTACCTGTAGGTTCCTCAGCTACACGGGCACCATCTCTGGAGCTCGGTGCCCTGGGTTTGCCAGTACGGCAAGAGCTCTAGTAGAGGCTGGTGGGTTTTCTGGGCTCCAGTGGTACTTGGTGCTTGGTGATTGCTTTTCTTAGGGTAGCCTCAGGGGCTTTGAAAGCCAGGCTTTGAGCTTGAGGTGGCCGGAGTTTCTCAGGCTGCTATTCTAGCCCTCGCCAAGGGTCATCCCTCATCCGGCTAGTGGAACACTGGCCTCTTTGAATCAAATACCCCAACACCTCCCCATGGGGTGTAACGTGCCACCAGGTAGAAAATAGATCTTGGAGTCACGGTATATGTGATGGATAGCGGTTTCTTTATTTAAAATTGGGAAGGCATTTCCCTACCAGGTAATTCTCTGGCCAGAGGAGACAGCCCCCTTGGCACGGATTAAACACAGGCTCTGGTTCAGCTCTTGGCTTACCCAAGAGGTACCTGTGGCGGCACCTTTGCAGGATTACTTAGCAGCTCTGGGCTGCAGCATCCTCTGCAACAAAATGAAGTGGGATTAGAGACGCCGTGCATGCAAAGCAGAGCCTAGAGCCGGGCGCTATTAACATCTGGGGCCAGAAAAGTCCTTGGTTGGGGGTGGGGGCTGTGCTGTGCGTTGTGTGTTTCGCAACGTCCCTGGCCTCCACCCACTGGATGCCGGTGTGACCCTTTCCTCCACAGTTGTGACAAACAAAAATGTTCCTATGATGTCTCCTGAGGAACCGTCACCCCTGCTTGAGGACTCCCGATGCAAAGCACCCAGCACATTGCCTAGAGCCACTAGGTCTGAAGCAAGGGGCAGTGGCATTCAGTTTGAACTCTGAGCTCTGGCCTGGGGAAGAGGATGGGTTTCAGACGGAGCACAGAAGCCTGAAGCCATCCTAGGTCTTCCCACGAGCCCCCTAATGCCGAGCCTGCAGCACGTGTGTTTACAACGCAGCGACCCGGTGACAAGAGGCACACCCTGAAGATGGCCCTGCCACTCCCTTCTTGCGCCCTCAATGCTGCTGGTCTCCAAGTCAAGCTGAGCCAGCCGCTCCTTGGTTTAGATAGAAGGCACCCCCTTTCTCTCTCTTCCCGCTTCACGGCCAGCTGTATTTCCTGCCCAGACTATTTGTACAACAACAGCGTCTTAGTGGATGTCTCTGTATTAAACGCTAACCCTGCCCCAGCGATGAGAAAACTCTTTCTGCAAAGGGCCAGATAGTTCAATCCTTGAGGCTGGATGAGTCATACGTGCCTGGCGCCCAGTGAGCGGGATTGGGGCCCAACAGAACTTTATTTACATAAAGGAAGCTGTGGGTCAGATTTCTTCCACGGTCATTGGCCAGTCCTCCCCCCAGCCCCCACCTATCTCCTGTTGCCACTTGGAAGCTTGCCAGAGCCCCGAGTTCACTAGTCGAGCGTGCGTTCACTTAACATACACTGGAGAAGGCCAGCCCTGCAGCCAGCCTGGCTGCTGGACCCTGGAGACGGGACAGAGGACGCAGCAAGTCCCTTGCCCCCAGGGTGCTCACAGGCAGTGCTGGTACCTGGAGTTACCGCTGCAGCGGGGTCTAGAGAGCAGGCAGCCCATGTGGCTTAAGTGTCAAGGGAGACTTGTAGGGGGAGGGGACTCTCGATCTGGGACCTCAAGAAGAAGTTGAGACTAGCCAGGCCAGGGAGCCGGGGAGTAGGGAACTCCCAAGCAGAGGAGGTAGTGAATGGGAAGATGCGACGGTCCTGCGAGGCTGGAGTGGCCATAAGCCTCCTGAGGGCAGGCCCTTCCCGTTCCGGTGCAGAGAGAGATCAGGTCCTAGCAAAGGGCCCTTGATGTTTAGTGGGAGCTTGTGGGACTGGATCACACTTTCTGAGACTGCTCTGCAATGAGGAGAGGCCACATGGGCATGCACGTTCCCCGGGAAAGTGTTCCTGCTGAAGGTGGAGGGAGGAAACCTTCGCTTTTACGACAGTCAGTCTCTACCAGCGCTCCTGGGAGGGGCTGCCCCAGGAGGCCCCGCCTAGGGTTTTCGTGGGTCTCTCTTGCAAAGCAGAGGTGAGCTAAGTGGAAGGTCGGGGATGCTGAAACAGACCACTGGGCAGAAGTGGAATTTAGCACAATGAATTTCTCTTTGGAGGGTTCTCAAGGTCCCAAAGTTTCTAAAGCTTCTTGTCAACCAGAAAAAAAAAAAAGTGGCATCCGTATGGAATTTCTGTCGACAAGGACGTGTTCCTTGAACAGCCCTGAAGAAGGGAAGGATGCTAGTTGATCCTCACAGTAGAGGATTTTTTTTTTTGTATTGGTCAAGACCTTTTTGGTTGCAAGGCACGGAAAATCTTAAGCAAAAGAAGACATTTACTGACTCACATAGCTTAAAGAAACAGCAGCGGTACTAAGTACAGATAAGGCTGGATCCAAGACTTCACAGGATGTCACCGAGGCTCAGTTGATCTATTTCTCTGTTTCTGGGCTCCATTTTCCTCTAAGTCGGCTTCTGCTTTAGGGAGGGCCTCTTCAAGAGGCAGTTCTTGGCAGCCCCAGGCTTACATTATTTTTCCAGCTGCCCATCATAGTAGTAAAAGAACTTCCTCCCCCAAATCCAGCAAAGTAGCAGGATGAAGCCTCACTGGAGTTGCTAGGGGTTAGCTCACTAACCGGCCTCGCTCAGAAAGGTGGGGCAGGAGCCCAGATCCCTGCGATTGTGAGGTGGGAGCCTCTGGTTAGCCGGGCTGGGTCATGTGACCACATGGAGAGGTAACCAGAGGTGGGGCTCACCCACACCTGCACTACACGGGCTGAGGGTGGAAGTGTCCCCTAAAAGGAAACTGAGCATCATCTTGGAAGAGGTGTGACCAGAGAGTGGCCATGAGGATAAATGACCTCTGTGGTTTCCCAAGGACGGATAGGGTTAACTTCGCACATAGAGCGATCCAACCGCACAGCACAGACAGACCCTCACAGCCCCAAGTGCTATGAAAACATGTTGCCAAGAACGAAATGGCTGTGCCTTTTTGCTTCCCATGGCACAGACATTTGGAGAAATTAGTCTGGAGGAGGAAAGGGCCTGATGGGAGTGTTTGCACTTGTAAAATGTTTTAAACTTATCCTGAGCATCGTTCTCTTCCAAGTGTCATCTTTAACATTCTAATTAAGGTTCCTTCTAAACAAATGCACCAGCGCCGTGTGCTGCTCTGAGAATAAACTTCTTTTTCCCTCTCTGTCATCATGGGGTTTTTTTTTGCTGCACTCCAGTTGCCTTTGCTGAAGAGGCTCTCAAATGTCGGTGGCAGGGACTGGGGAGATGTGAGCAGTTCTGACATTTTTGCCCTGGTATCATCATCGGAGGGCTGAAGTCACATCTAATTGACCACAGACAATGGGAGAAGTAGCTATTTGGTGCGCTTAATTGCTAAGCTTTCTCTCTCTCTCTCTCTCTCTCTCTCTCTCTCTCCTCTCTCTCTTTCTCTCTCTCTCCAAGTGTGCAACCCCATTTCTTAAGACCATGGAAAATTTAGACCTCTGGGTTACAGTCTCTGATGTCTTGCACGAGTGCGTGTGCGTGTGTGTGTGTGTGAGTGTGTGTAGGATAGGGTAGTAGGGTTATAGGGGTGGAAGTTGGGCTGGAGAGAGAGAGATGGTTCCTGAAATGGAAGCATTTGAATTTTTTTTATTCTTTTGACTTGACTGTAATTATCACGCTGCATGTTTTGCCTAGATCTGAAGGGCGAATTGTTATATAATACTCTGCTTATAAAAAATAAGTCAGGGATGGGGGGGAGGCATTGATTAATGAGGCTAAGAGTTAAGTCCAGCATTTTGCAGAGATACTTAAAATGGGACTATCACAGAAGGCCATCTTTGTCCAAATTAGGCCTTGAATTTTCATTAGCTGCTTCACAGTGGCACTGAGAACATCACACACACACACACACACACACACACACACACACACACACACAGAGTGACCATTGAAAGGACCACCGCCCTCTTCCCATTACATGAGCCAAATCACATAAAATTTTGATTAAATTCAAATGCTTACATGAATTGTCTCTCCTCTCAAGAACACACACGTTCAATTTAATCTCTCTTGGCATTTTAAGTATCAAATCAAGGCTGTGCTGTCAACCAGAGACAACTACAAGCGCACACGTTCCAAAATGGGAGCGAAATAAGAAGGATCTGCCAGAAAAAGTCCAATCCAGCAGAGCGCAGACCCTCACGGTCTAGACGGCTGTGGGGCTGGAGGACCTGGGACAGGGCCCTCAACCTTGCGCCCGCCCGGGGAGCGGGGGAGTGGAGGTTCCGCTCGCTCGGCGCCAGCTCACGGTTTTCTCCCCCTCTCTCCACCTTTCTGATTTTCCAGGGTAATCAGGAAGCAGCCGCTGCCCCTGACACCATGGCTCAGCCTTATGCTTCGGCCCAGTTTGCCCCCCCTCAGAACGGCATCCCCGCGGAATACACGGCCCCTCACCCCCACCCCGCGCCAGAGTACACGGGCCAGACCACCGTCCCCGAGCACACGTTAAACCTGTACCCTCCCGCCCAGTCGCACTCGGAGCAGAGCGCAGCGGACACC